CCAGTACCGCTGCCATTACCACTACTTCGACTATGTTCACTTCTTCTAATGCTGCTACCACTTCCACTGCCACTACTACTACCAGAACTACTACTACTACTACTACTACTACTACTACTACTACTACTACTACTACTACTACTACTACTACTACTACTACTACTACTACTACTACTACTACTGCTTTTCTGTTGCTGCTGCTGCTGCTACTAGTACAGTTAAAAGTACAAGGACGAGTATTAGTACCAGTACTAGTGCAAGTACAGGTAAGAGTCTGAGAAGTGCAAGTTCGAGCATGAGTGCCAGTACGGATACTACTAGGCTTTCTAGCAGTACATGTTTTTTTGTGTGTGCGCTCCCCTGAGGCAGCTGTTCAATGCACCCGAATTGAGGCGAGGCTGAAAGGAAGACATTGACTCCCTCGGGTTCATCTCATAATTTTTCAGGAAGGGCGCACACAAGAATCACTAGGATCTTTATTCTGATGACCCTTACACGCACGGATTTCGGTCTGAAGGCTCTCGGGCACAAGGCTTACTGGAAGGCTTCAAAAAATGAAAGAGCAGGCCCTTTTAAAACCCTGAACCCAGGCCAGAGGCTTACGACATCATGGCTCTGGATCAAACCCCCGCAGATCATGCATGAGTAGCTGTAAGTGGAGCTACAAGTCCCCGAATATGGGTTTTAAGGTGTAGTTACGGTGACCGTACTTGTTACCCCAGTTGTAAGTACATTCTCTGTGTAATTCAACCGCTACGGTTACGGGCCTGTGTCGGCTTCTCGATGTGAGAATTTGACAGTGCTTGGGCGCACCTTCGGTTAAGATAGATGCTTCCAGCATCCTTACATCCTAAACCCCAAACCCTAAATACCCACTCATGTCTGCCCTATATCGGTACAGCTGGAGTAACCCAGATGCTCCAATAACCCTTAGTTAATGAATACATAGGGCTCCTTTAAGGGATCTTCTGCGGGATCTTTAGGGTTTAGCGTTTAGGGTATCCATAGACTCCAATATCCCCAATTCAGGAATAGACTTTAAATCACATTAGGGATCCTACTAACTTAAGTTTCTATGAACCCTGGTGGTTCGATCTCCAGCCCTGCTAGTTGCTAACGCCAAGCTGCTTGCTTGGAGCCCAGAGTTGGAGATGGGTGGTTGTCAAAATTAGGGTCCCTTTTGGGTACCCTAAATATTAGGTGCCGTATTGTAATAAGGACCCAAAAAGGGACCGTAATTTTGACAACTACCCAGATTGACTTTGCTTTGCCCTTGAAGTCTGCCGCCTTCTCCAGCCTACAGCTTATCGGGTAGTCCTTCAAGGACCCTGACCTGAACTCTATAGATCCCTTGAAGGAACCCTGGGTACTCCTCAAGGGACCCTGAACCCTGCAAACCTTGAAGTGGGAGACGAAGATCCTTACGATTCCGCTTCAACCTGAAGCCGGCGAAAAAGGGAAGTACGCCATAAAACCCCTAAAGTAACGATTAGAAGAAGGAGGGAACTCCAGAAAGTTGGAATATGGTTTCAGGGTAGGATACCTTATAATTTACCATAAAGGGTTTAGGATAATCATATTTCATATTCCAACTTTCTGGCTTCTACTTTAACACCCCTGAGCCCCAAGCCCTAACAACCCTCGACGCTGAACCCTAAGACCCCTCAACTCCGACAGATTCGGCCGGTTGTGGAATGAGCGCGTCGACATTTGGGCGTGCGGGCTGGGAGCCTCAATTCTCCAAGTCCAGGCTTGGCTGGCTCAATCTGGTTGGGCTTGGCTTAGAGTGGCTTGGGGGGGTTGCAGGGTTAGGGTCAAGGCCTGGGGATTAGGGCTAAGGGGCTTAGGGCAAAGGTTTAGGGTTTAGGGTTTCGTGACTGGTGGGTCAGAAGCGCTGAGCAGCAGGAGAAAGATACAGATGCAGCCACGACACCCTTCGCATTGATTCCTGCAGTGGTTCAGGGTTTGCCCCCCAAATTCCATCACCGCAAGCATTTGCACTTTTTAGTTAACGTCAAAACCGGTCTCAAACCTCCAGACCCTAATTTCAAGACCTGTTGCTTCCACTGGCAAGTGAGCATAAACGTCTCAATAACTACATCCATATTATTCCTTAGGCTTCCTTACTAATTACAACTCTTAGTCTAGTAGTCACCCAAAAAACCCCGTTCAACTTTATGACGACGCCTACAGTAGTAGTACCCTTATAGATCCTTTATAGTGGCCCTTACCTATAGACCCCTTTAAAGAAACCCTAGTCTAATTTTCAAGGCCCCTACATTACTCCCTAAACCCTGAACCATTATTCTGATTCTAAGTATTAAGTCCCCCTACAGCCTCGTCCCAACGCCGAGGCTTTGTCTGTATTTTATGCTAGCGAAGCACGTGCCCTTCAACATCGGCGATCAGAAGGCACGGGTTTAGGGGGATGTATAGGGATCCTTCAAAGGGATCCATAGGGGATTCATAAGGTTCTGAACTTGGCAGCGTTCTCCTGGTTGGCTCTTTATAGACTTTAACTCTTTGGGTTTCTATATGAACTAAAATAAGGAGGCTTAAAGTTTAGCTTTTAGGAGGGGATCAGAAGTCAGCTAAGTGAAATAAGTAAGTTACCATAACAGGGATCTATAGTAAATAGTATGGTGTCCTTGTTATGGTAACTTAAGTTAAATTCCTTGACAGCGCTGCAGTGTGCTGTTCACGCGCCGTTCAAAGGATGAAGTAGTAGGTACAGCAGGTTTGCATGGTAGGCGCAGCACTTTCAGGTTTTAGAACCATGGGAAGTGAAAAACGTTCAGGCACCGAAACAGATGAAAATTGGGTGTAAATGCGCTGCGGCTTGGGTTTTCGACACATCGAGGTGGTTAAGTAAAGGTTTACTGAGAAAGTCTCTGCTTCGCACATGTTTGCATGCGAAGGACTCACAGCTTGACCCAGTCCTTGTCCTCTGCAGGGCTCGGGACTGGAAATATGGTCTTATCTGGATGTTATCATGGTTGGCACATGGCTGCACTGTGGGAATGGATATGGTGTGGTAGCCTGTCGGATGCAGGGTTTCAGGGTTTGAGAAGTGCCACGATGTCTTGGTTCTGGTACGGAGTTTAGATGTTGGGTACGGGGTTCGTTCGCGATATATAGGTTTATGAGAGTCTGACGCCTCAACCGTTGGTTTTGCCTGCTAGCTGTCGTTTCCAATGATGTACACTCTCATCATAAGGCCGAGGCCCGAACTACAGAAAGGCGATGCTACATGCCAACATCCCTTCCCGGATTCCAGTATTCGTAGCCGCAAGGGGGTCCCTGCCGGCTTTTAAACTATAACCCGTGTGCTGGCATGTAGCGGCTGGAAAAGTTAGTGATGTTGGTTACTCTTTGCAGGTTGCCAACACCTTGCTGGCAGGCCGAGAAGGGTGGGGGAGCGGTAGCTCGAAGCATTGCAAGAGGAGCATGCATGCTGACTCTGCTCCTTCGTGAAGTCTTAAGTCCGCCGGGAATCAGTCGGGGTTGTTGCGGGATAGATAGCCGCCTGCCCTCCACCAGCCTAGCAAGAACTTCAGGGGTTTAGGGCCGGGATTTACACCCATCCCTAGAATTGAAAAAGCTTCAAAGCCCGAAAACAGGTCTTGTCGGAGGCTTCGATATGTTCGAGGCTTCAAGTTTCGGGTTTTAGTTTGGGTTTGACCCTCAGCTTTATGGTGGTCGCTGATTCCACAGCTTAACCCCAAATTCAACATAGACGAGGATCCCGGCTGACAACGGCTTTCTTAATCTCCCTGAATCTTAGTAGGGAATGGGGGAATGGATCCCTATAGTAGCGGTTTAGGGTTTAGGGTAGTTCCTATATAATCCCCAATAGTAATCCGAATAACCCATTCAATTACAAGGCTCTGTCCTGGGTCGACCGGGAGGGAAGAGAGACACGGGCGCTTGAGAATCCCGAGCCGATCTGGTGGCTGGTGGTAAAGGGGCCTCAATAATGACCTGTACTGTTTTGGGGGCTCCTCATTATAATTATACTACAATGGGCCCCAAAAGCCTATTCTAATTAGTAAGGCCCCTATATTACTGGCTCAGAGTTGACCAACCACTACGACACTCATGCAATCAGGACCCCAGAAAAGACGCAAAGCTAGGGAAGCGCCCGGACATGAGCGTTGAGAATTTGCTGCGCCTTTCTACACCCCTGTCACAGTCCTGCCCCAATGCACTCTGCATAGGCGATTTAGCAGTAAACTTTGGTCCATCCTCAAAGTGTGGGATTCAGGCCGCATTGCCAGGCAGGTCTCTGTGTGTAGGACTTGGGCTGTGGAATCTCGAGGGCTTTGGGTATGCTATACGTAGGAAGCCTAGAAAGCTATATTGCTACTACCTCAGGACTTGTCAAGAAGTTCCAGGCATTACAGACATGAGCCCCGAGGGGACTTAGTAATTTGGAGTCCTTAGCCTATGGGAATGCTGTACCAGAGCCTTGTGACCCCTGAGCTAGGGAACATACCTCCGGAGCCCTGCCCCACAGCCACTCTGGCCGAAGGCCCCTGCTGAATCTGAGCCTGACCCTGAAGCCCAACCGCTCCCTAAAGCGCACAGAGCTTTTTTTGTTCTCAGACACTATTATATTCAAGGAATCGAAATAAAAATATGAACGAACAACGAACCCACAATAAACCCGAAAGCCTCAAACCCAAACCTGAACCCCAAGATGGAAAAGAGGCATCCCCCCCTTCCCCCCCGTCAAAAGGGTGGTTGCCAAAATTAAGGTCCCTTCTAATGGGTACCCTAGATATTAGGTGCCGTACTATACTAAGCGCCCAAAAAGGGACCATAACTTTGACAGCCACCCAAAAACAAACGAATTAGACCTTAAAACAAACTAATTAAACCTTAAAACAAACTAATTAAACCTTAAAGCAAGCTAATTAAACCTTAAAACAAGCTAATTAAACCTTAAAGCAAGCTTGAAGTCGGCCGCAGGCAAGCTGCCCCAGGTTGACTGGAGCATCATGTCGCCCCTGGCAGGCAACCTTATCAGGCTCGGAGAAGGGTTTTGGGCCTGGGGTGTTGGGGTGAGGCTTAGAGGGATTATAGGGCTTAGGGGGTTTAGGGTTTTGGGTTGGGGGTTTAGGGTTGAGGCTTATAGAGGGGTTAGGGCTTAGGGTGTCATTTTCATTCAGGGTTTCATGGCCAGTGTGCTAAATTGAGACGATCAGCAGGGTTTAGACTTTAGTTTTTGAGTCTGAGTCGATTATTTGGGCACATGTTTTGCGACCCCCGCACGGCAATGTCCGGTATTGATTGACGCTTGGGGGGAAAAGAACACCAGGACGTCTCGGCACACTGCTTCTCCGAAGTACTCAGAATGCTCCGCACAAGTACCACTCGTGGCGGGAATCAGGAGCAGTAAGATGCTTCACCAAGCACTGGCGGGATTCGAGGAGCACGGCAAAAAATTTCCCCCATGCTTCAGGACTACTGCAGCAAATCTCTTCAGACCTCTATACCAATCCCTAAGCCCTCAAGCCCCAATAGTCCCCAAACCTCGAGGCAGTGCTTGTTAGTGGACCCGTGCGACCGGCCAACAGCAATGGAGTTGCCAGACCCCCGGATTCTCTCACGGGCAAAGATCCAGGTTGGGGTTGTGAGGACAGCAGCGTTCGCTTTTGGAGTTGAGGTTTTGAATCTGTAGCTTACCTAGAACCCAGCTGTTACCGTTCATTATTGGTAGCCGAAAGCTGTCCTATTAACGACCGAAAAGCATGCAGCATGCACGTACTGTGGCTCTAAACCTCCATGCCTGCCCTTTGAAAAGATTTTCCTACTTCAATAACGGATTTACTTTAAGTTACCATAAGAAGGAAACCGTACTATTGACTATAGATCCCTATTGCTCAACCATCTATCCCAAATGTCCGTGAGGGGCCTGAATAACAATGTAGTAGCAGTAGTAGTAGTAGTAGTAGTAGTAGTAGTAGTAGTAGTAGCAGTAGCAGTAGTAGTAGTAGTAGTAGTAGTAGTAGTCGTCGTAGTCGTAGTCGTAGTAGTCGTAGTCGTAGTCGTAGTCGTAGTCGTAGTAGTCGTAGTCGTAGTAGTCGTAGTCGTAGTCGTAGTCGTAGTCGTAGTCGTAGTCGTAGTCGTAGTAGTAGTAGTCGTAGTAGTAGTAGTAGTAGGTAGTAGTAGTAGTAAGTAGTAGTAGTAGTAGTGTAGTAGTAGTAGTAGTAGTAGTAGTAGTAGTAGTAGTAGTAGTAGTAGTAGTAGTAGTAGTAGTAGTAGTAGTAGTAGTAGTAGTAGTAGTAGTAGTAGTAGTAGTAGTAGTAGTAGTAGTAGTAGTAGTAGTAGTAGTAGTAGTAGTAGTAGTAGTAGTAGTGGTAGTAGTAGTAGTAGTAGTACTAGTACTAGTACTAGTACTAGTAGTACTAGTAGTAGTAGCAGTAGTAGTAGTAGTAGTAGTAGTAGTAGTAGTAGTAGTAGTAGTAGTAGTAGAAGTAGTAGTAGTAGTAGTAGTAGTAGTAGTAGTAGTAGTAGTAGTAGTAGTAGTAGTAGTAGTAGTAGTAGTAGTAGTAGTGATCGTTATGTGGGGAACTCATGGGGCGTATTCTAACCACTTGTCCACACCTCTATACGCAATCCTAAAGACCCAAGTCTCAAAATCCCGTAAACTACGGCACACGTATTCCTTGAGGCACTGCGTCCGTGTCTAAGCTGAACCATGAGTCGCGGAATCCTCGTCTGAAAGTCCAGATATTGTTACGGTGTAACATAACCCCACCCGTTTCAAACTTCCAAGTTCCAGGGCTGGTATGAGCGCCTTTGAGCCCCTCCCCACATAGACACGCAGGGGCCCAAAACTTTATAACCTGCCACTGCGCACCAAAATCAGTTGCCTCAACGTGAGCTCCCAAGCCACAAGCGCCAAACCTCCAGTACGGGATCTTGCTCGCCTTCACTGAGGCGTTTGCATCCCTTCTTTGGAAAGTGCCGCACGGTAAAGCTGTGCTCCGGTGTGAGGTGCAGTTGGGACAGGCTTTCGGCATGTTAAGGGGTTTTGGGCTTGTAGGATTTATGGTATTGAAGGATTGGGCTTGTTGCTTGAGTTGGATACTGAAGCTATCTGGTGCACGGTTGAGTGCGCGAGTTCCGTCTTGAACCCGACCACTCGTTGAAAGGCCCCAACCTCACCTGTAAAATGCAAAAACACCGTGGATCTTGCACGGATTTCTTTGTCTTGAGGGTTTAGGGTTCAAGATTTCGGGCTCCCTTGAGCAACCGGTCACAAAACGAGGGCCCATCGTGGGATCTCAATCGTCGTATCTGTGCATTCCACAAGTTTCTGTCGGGAATAGCTCAAAATCCAATTCTCAGCATCCAGCGGCTTTTGGCTTTAGGCTTGTTCATTCGACCGAGTGTGGTTCCTTAGGGCTTGCAGTGCGCGGCATGTTCTATCACCCCGGACTATGTGTTGTTGTGCTATGCTTTCTTATGTCGCATTGCAGCATTTGACCCCTAATTGTACCGTATGGCTATATCTTGTCTTGACATTGATGATCCACTGTATCAGGTTCTGTTTGCTTATGCACTATATTTAAACTTGGACCCCGCACCAGAAACTGTAAGTGTTGACGCAATGGCCAGAGTCTGCCAGGACGCTCAGCATTGAAAGCTCAGCGAGTGTGGAGGAAAATCTGGTCTGCGACTTAGACTTTGACACTTGAAAATATGACCATCGCGGTCCATTATAAAGGTCTGATTACTTAGAATGTGCTTTTTTTGTTGTTGCGGGGGACGGTATACTATAGTACATATGGATAGCAAGGGGATGCTACTAGTAGAAATTCGAGCTGCATTAGACCCTGAACCGCCAAGCCCCAGGCCTAAACACCCAGGGCCCTAAACCCCAACACCCCGAAGCCACGGCCCCAAATCTCGAGCCCCGAAACCCCAACACCTGAAAAAAACACTAAGGCGCCAAACCCTGATACAAAAACTCGAAACCGTCACCATTTTCAGACCGAGGGCTCTTAGATACTGGGGTTTTGTCAGATGATGTGGGATCTGTCTTGTGAGGGTTTGGGGTTCTAGGGTTGAAGGTTCAGGGTTTTCTAGGGTTTGGCCTTCAAGGCTTCAGGGATCAACGGCTTTAGGGCTGTAGGTTTTTAGACTTTAGGCGTTTACGGCTTCTACAGTCCTGTTTCGGCTATTATTACAAGGCTCAAGACCACTGTGTTTGATAGCCGGTGCTTGTCAACGAACTTGACTCGAGCTACTATAACTTAAGCAAAATGTCAATCAACCAGCTGCTCGTAACTCCAGTCGGATCCACACTTTCAGGGAGCGTAAGAGGAGGGACCCTTAATAAGGACCCCTAGGTATATACCCTTAATATAGCTATCATATATCCATTATATAGCCCATTATAGGGTAGAGGTCCCCATTAAGGGTCCCTCCTTTTCCCCTTTGATTTCAGGGAGGGTAAGGGGGTTGCTGACTATTAGGCTCCGCATGTCCGTCACGGTTCAGGAGGCGCCACGCAATAAGAGGACCCTCCTGCATTCAGTTGCCCTAACCCGAAGCATGGAAAGAACTGGAAGGATGTCGGGAACAGCTTGAAATCCGATCTCTAACGGACCTGCAAACCCGATTATAGTCTAAGGCCCCCCAACATTTTCCTCATTGCGGGTTGAAAAAGGAACGGTATCAAAGAAGGTTTAGGATATCCAGGATGGGGGATCCTGTTAAGCTTGAGAGTAGGACTCGAATATAGAGGTCGGAAAGGTTACCAACTTTATCCCGAGTTCCCAAAAATATTTCCGAAGCACTGCAGTTCTAAGCCCAGGCCGGACACACTGAGTCTGAACTTAACGTTCTCAACTTCGAGACCTTAAACCCCAAACCCAAAGCTGTGACTCAAAGCCATCATCCTGGATCCCGAACCCTCGCGATTCCAAAGTTCCGAGAGATCGAAGTCCAGGCTGAAAATCCCAAGCCAGCAGGCTTGAGCCCTGAGTCCTAAAACTCTTAAATCCTGTAAACCACCGGAAACTCAAATGCTCTCAACCCTCAAACAGCACGAGGTCGCATGGAATAAGCGACGAGAATCGAAGGAGCCGCGCCAGTGGACTTGTCTGCTTAGTCAGGTTTTGGGCTTCGGTTCACTTTTGGCTTCTGACTCAGGGCTTTCTGGGTTCAGATTGTGTTGTGTCGTTGGGGTTGAGGGTTCGAGGCTTTGTTTCTGTGGACGAAAAGTGCAGGAATCCTGCAGAAGGCGCGACGCATCATCCGGGCCATATGAGGGTGCCGAGGTTTGAACAGGGGGCTGTTGAGGGTTGCGGAGGGAGTTTCATGAAGTGTCGGCGCTTAGTCTTTTCATTCAGCTTGCAACAAGCCACAACACTGTATGTCTTACCACGGTAACTCGTTGATAGTGCTACACGCAGAGGGTCTAACATCCTTAAATGCTGCCTTCTCTCGCAACCAGCCCAGTACATGAGGGAGGGGAGATGGCTTGCGTTGCAACGGAAGAGACATTGGGATCAATTGCAGCAGGGGGGTTCGGGGGGGGGCGGGGGCGGACATGTGGAAATCCCGACAAAACCCTAAATACTCAACTCACTGGGAAGTGTTTTATCCGTGGCCATGTGGTGGTCTGCAGCGGTCGTCGTGGTGGTCCTGGCGGTCGTGGATCAGACTTGATCGTCGTTCTTGTCATCGTTGTGGAGGTGCTCTGTCACCGCCTGGGTTTCTAGGCTGGCATACTTATTGCTATACTGCTATAGTAGATCTTTTTGTTCTTGTAACCAAGACACCGCACACTCCAGCCTCATACAACCCTAAACCCTAAACTCCCTGCGAGATGCATCATGACGACCTTCAGGAAACACAAAGGAGGGAACCCAAGTCCATGGCCTTCAAACCGCGACAGGAGTCCACTTCGACGAACTCGAGCTTTACTGCCAGCAGGCGCATCGCGCTGGAGAATCCAACATTGGACACCCGGCCGAAGCCACCCCCTGAACCCTAAACCCCTAAACCCTAAACCTGCAGAGGCAGAGGGTTTATGAAAATGGGGATTACTTCAAGGGCGCATAGGGGAGACTCAGGGGCTTACTGTATGGGTCTACAGGCCAGCTTCAGACCCCAAGGCTCTAGGCCCAAAGCACTGCAAGATGTAGCAAACATCTAGGAGCCTGAGCTTTAGTCTAACGCTATTCTTCTTCCCCCTGCATACTTGAAACATAGTATCACATACCACCTCAGACCCAAAACTCGGCAGCGGAGATGATCACGGTAGCCTTCCCCAAGACAGCCAGGCATCACCCGCTTGGCGCTGGCACTGGGGATTCCACCTGTAAGGTAAGGTTTAGGCTTGCCAAGGGTACCCTGTGAGATCCGGTAGTGGTAGTGTAGTAGTAGTGTAGTAGTGTAGTAGTGTAGTAGTGTAGTAGTGTAGTAGTGTAGTAGTGTAGTAGTGTAGTAGTGTAGTAGTAGTAGTAGTAGTAGTAGTAGTAGTAGTAGTAGTAGTAGTAGTAGTAGTAGTAGTAGTAGTAGTAGTAGTAGTAGTAGTAGTAGTAGTAGTAGTAGTAGTATAGTAGTAGTAGTAGTAGTAGTAGTAGTAGTAGTAGTAGTAGTAGTAGTAGTAGTAGTAGTAGTAGTAGTAGTAGTAGTAGTAGTAGTAGTAGTAGTAGTAGTAGTAGTAGTAGTAGTAGTAGTAGTAGTAGTAGTAGTAGTAGTAGTAGTAGGAGTAGCAGTAGTAGGCAGTAGTAGCAGTAGTAGCAGTAGTAGCAGTAGTAGCAGTAGTAGTAGTAGCAGTAGTAGTAGTAGTAGTAGTAGTAGTAGTAGTAGTAGTAGTAGTAGTAGTAGTAGAGTACTGTTGAGGACAGGTCGCGTAATGCGGATACATGGGCAGGCTAGAGATGAGTGCTTTCGAGGAGTTGGTGTGCTTGCAAGTGCAGCGACACCCAGTGGTAGACCCGAAATCCGGAACGTTCACTCTGAACCGAAAGCTGTTGACGAAAATCCTCAAGCCAGCATTGAGCTGCAGCGAGATATGGGAGTTTCCGAAACTCGGGGACCCTTAAAAAATTCCGAGTTAGGATCCTTATTCTAAGGACCCCAGAATAAGGTACCCCTTCTTTTCGGAAAGTCCCATATAGAGGAGTTTGAGGCTGCCACGTTTAGTTTCAGCTCCGGGACTGAACATAGGAGACCTTACTTGGAGGATCATGGGACTTAGAAAGTAAGGCTATAAGTACCTTAATTGGGGTTATAAGTATAGTTACCCTAATTATGACCCTAGTTACTAAGTCCCATGATCCTTTAAGTATAGAACACCAAATAACAGGGTCCTCACTGGAAGGGCCCTGAACTTGCTGGGGTACCTTTTCTTGTCTGAAGCCACCATTCTCGGTGCCTCCCTAACTGAGGATGCCAATGTGATGCTGCCGCTGCTCGTCTGGCTTGGCCCAACCCCTCAACCCTAAACCCTAAACCCTGTGTCTAAGTAAGGTCTACAAACCCTAAACCGTCCTGAACCCAAAGCTCTGAGCCTCGAACCCTAAACACTGGGTCCCTAAAACCTGAATCTTAAATCCTTAACCCGTAACCTTAAACCCTAAGCCCTCAAGTCATGAGTAGAGCTTCGGTTTGAAGCCGTCGGCCTTGTCGGTTCTGAGGGTTAAGGCTATATAGGTCTCGGGTTTGGGGTTTCCGGGGCCCTTCACCTTACTCGGCCTTCCTGAATGCGCTGCCTGGTAGCATGCCACGTGCTTCAAAAAGAACCTCGAACCCAGAAAACCTTGAGGCGCTAAAGCGCGTGGTCAAAGCTTCTGTATGGTGCTATGTTTTGATTTGTTTTTGCTTTTCTTTTCTGAGGGAGGGCTGTCGAGTTTCTAAATGATTGGGTATTGCAGTTTCCAGCATTGTTCGCTGGAGAGGCAGCAAAACCTTTAAATCCTGTTCTCGACATCTTAGCCTCTACCAAGGCCTTTCGGTGCAGTTTGTGACAAGGCATCCGAATTGGACCCTCAATCGGAAGTTCTACATGCGTCAAGCAGGGTTTGTAATGGTGGGTGCTCCCTAGATTCACGGAGACATGATATTTGGGCTGTCGCTATATATATATATATATATATATGCCTTTCGAGCAAACCCAACCAAAGCATATCTCAACAATGGATAGTATCAGTGCCATCGTTTTCGCATCATTTGGAGCAGCCCTCCCCGGAAGATCTAGCATAGTGTGTCATCTTTGGTTTCAAAACTTGCAGACGCTCGCTACATGAAGGACCGTCTATCATCAACTGTGCAACAGCCAGCGTGAAATTCTAAGCTTGCAAAATGCTTTATATATCCCTATATTGCCCTTTGCGGTTCTGCGCATTCGAAAGCAGTTGAATGTTTATCGTTTGAGCATGCTTCTAAGACACATGATGTCACTGATCAGTCGCACGTATCAGATGGAGAATCGGGTGGTATCTGCGCAGGATATGTACGGCACTATATCGATATTGACAATCACAATGGGAAATAGAGGGTGTAACTGCAAAGAGAGAGAGAGAGAGAGAGAGAGAGAGAGAGAGAGAGAGAGAGAGAGAGCGAGAGAAAGAGAGAGAGAGAGAGAGAGAGAGAGAGAGAGAGAGAGAGAGAGAGAGAGAGAGAGAGAGAGAGAGAGAGAGCGAGAGAGAGCGAGAGAGAGCGACAGAGAGCGAGAGAGAGCGAGAGAGAGCGAGAGAGAGCGAGAGAGAGCGAGAGAGAGCGAGAGAGCACAGCAAGAAAAGCCCTTTAGCAGCCAAAAGCCGACAGTTGAAAAAGGAGGGCTTTGCCATCGTGTAGACCTGCGTAGTCAAGACGTTCTACTAGGACTCGTCGGCACCCAACCTTCAAACTTCCAGGTCTTGCGGTTTAGTCAACATCGGCGACTCACGCGTCGGCAGCGTGCTCGGTGCTGACAAGAGCGCCGTCTTCCCTGTAGGGGTTTTACTAGCTGCAGGTATCTTCCCGCTGCAACCCCTCTCCTTGATGAAAGTATGATACTAGTATATATGTGTTGAATCGGCGGTCAAAGTGTTGTCCGCCCTCTGATCGAGGCATGCATGGCAATGCATGGCATAGGTCGCACGGGCTTGAACTTCAGCTGGAAGATCTAAGCTCGGTAAGTCATATGTCTTGGGTTCCTTATTATAAATTTACTGTACTTTGCTGTGCTATACTATACTGTACTATGCTGTACTATGCAGCCTTGCAAGTACAGAGGCTGAAAGCAAGAATGTATCCATATATACATACGCACAGAATCAGAGCTCGCCTGTGGCCACCCTGAACCCTCGACCGTTCCTGCTCCCTCCATCTATCGGAGGCTATCATACTGGCGGAGGGCTTGAGAGCAATTATGTTTCAGGGCTTGAATAGCTAGTGCTTGTTAATACTCTTGATGATGCCTGATACGATTAACACTGTCAAGACACATTTCGACCCGTTCCCTTCATGGACTTGGGCTCACGAGCAAGACATCAAAACAGTAAGAAGTGTCTGCTTCTACGGGAGGGCTTGCTGCGGAAGCTTGAGTATTTTGAGAAGTTCGGGCCTCACGCCAGACACCAGTGGCAATAGAATGCGTTTACCGTTTTCTTGTCTTATCATGGCATGCGGCTTTGTATATTAAGGGATTTCTAGGACCTGAACGTGCAATTAGAAGGCGGCTTTGTACTCTTTCATGCCGTGGCCACATAGGAGTTCCGACTAGGCGGTGGGCAGTATGCTGGTGAACGTGAACGTGTCGCTGGGTTTGGGTGTTTCCTGCCTTGGACAGCAGAAGCATTTCGGAATTTCCCCCCCATATTACTTATCATTCCCTGCCTGGACAAAGCGTAGCTAGCCACTTGTGTAAAGGACACCCAAATTCCCGAAACACCTACATCAATGATTCTAAATTCCCCAACCCTGCCACCAGATCCCCCCAATCACCTCAACCCGCAAACCTTAAATTGAGCGCTTCAGACCCCGGCCCTAAACCCTAAACATCCCTAAACCCTACACCCTTATAAACCCTAGACCCTCACAAACCCTGTCTGACTGAAGCCTTGAGCCGTGAGGTCGTGAAGCGCCACAGGTCCAGCGCGGCTCGGTATGGCTGGAGGTGGAGGACCGGCCCTTTCGGAAGATTCCGGGGCTTCTCTTGAGGTCTATGAGAGCTTATGAAGCTCATCGGGGCTTTCAGAGCTTGGTGAGCTGTACGGTTGTCGGCGTAAGTCGTTATAACGAGGGGAGTCAGTTACGAGTACCAGTAGTAGTTGTAGTAGTAGTACAGTAGTAGCAGTAGTAGTAGTAGCAGCAGGAGTCGTAGAAGGTGTCATAGTCGTAGTTGGAGTCGCACTGAGAGAGGGAGTGGCAGGGGCCGGGGCAGTGCCGGTGGTAGTGGCAGTGGTATTGATCGTCGTCGTCGTGGCCGTCATCATCGTTGTTGTTGTTCGCACCAGAGCAGGTATTCAACCTATCCCGTCCTGCCCCGACTGCAGGAGAAAATACAGCGAAAGGAGCGTGCTCGCGGAAGCCTCGGTTGCGGGGCCGCCCCTGGTTCCCTAAAGTCCCAGGGTTTACAAACGGTCTTTGCGGCTACAGTCTTCGGAATCGGGGCCTATAGGGGCCCAGGGGGCTCAGAGTGGGCTTGAGCTTCCTGTTAAGAAGCCCTCAAAACTCCCCAACCCTAAATTCCTAGACTCGACCCAAAACCTGACGGAGCTGCCAGGCCCCGTCCACCGATCTCCTTGTAGCTTACCTTGGATTAGGAGGGAATGGAGGAATGGGGTACAATTATACCTGCTATTACTACCATTCTTCCATTTCCTACTAACCAAAGGTAAGGTAGATGGCTTTCGGGCTAAGGATGTTCCGACATGAAGAAGGCAGAACCCTGAAGCCCAAGCTCGAAAGGCGGAGCCCTACATCCGAAACCGGCCTTCGAACTTCGGTGCCCCCGACATCGAGGAGGGAGGGTCTCGGTGAAAGTCGGAGGGGCATGGAAGACGCGGTTAAGACGAGTAAGCGAATGGGATCTGTGCCGCAAGAGCACTTTCCCGATGTAACAGGGATTCCTGCTGCTGCGACGGTCGGCAAGAAGCGTTCCAAGAGAAACTCCCCAAAACAACGAAACCCGAAGTCGTAAAATTGGACTGACAGAGATGCTTGTGGAAGAAGCGGCACCGCTGATCGACCAAAATGATCATCAGGGATTTGGGTTTAGGGATTAGTGGTTGATGCATAGGGATTAGAGTTTAGAGCTCAGGGATTAGGGTTTAGAGTTCAGGGATTAGGGTTTGCGGCTTAGGGAAGCCCTAAAAGCCTGAGGCGCTTCAGCGTTTGAAGCCCTGGGATAATCGTAAGATCCTGAGGTGCTAAACTCCATATTACTCTCAAGCTTCGAACCTTTGACAAATCCTCGAAGCCCCAGCTAGTTGAAACACTCCGGAACACCTGAGATCAATCATCTTCAAAACATGGATTCGAGGCAAGCTGTCGCTGAAAGCGCCACGCTCTCAGTTCGCATCCATCCATCTGTCTGTTCCGTGAATATTCACCCTAAGACCTAAACCCTAAACCCCGTTCTCTGTGAGTCATGCTTTGTGAATTCAGGAGCGCGTCTACGGACTCTAGCCACACCTGCAAAACACCCTAAACCCCAAACCATTCCAGCCAAGCTGTGGTCCTTGGGGCTCCTGGTCACGGTCCCATCAGTGGTGGTTTTCTTATTGCATGGGAACTGTTGTCGGATTTGCGAAGCCGGACGTTCCTAGTTGCTGCATTAGGGTGTTTGGGGCTCGGAACTCCTTCAAGTCACATGCAGGCTTTAGAGCCTACAAACCCTGAACCCTTAAACTCCAAGCCATGCCGCCTTGTGGCTTTGGAAGGGTTTGAGGTCACCTATGCCCGGGGAATCTTGCTTTTTTGCGACTGCGGCAGTACCCAGAGGCCCCAAAGTAGTTCCTTTTGGGGTTCATACATAGAACCCTAGAAGGTAATCCCAAAAAGGAGCTACTATGGGGCCTCTGGGTACTCTCAGTACTCGTACTCATGATGGCAGAGAAGCCCAGAGATGATGCAGATCAGCCATGCATAAACATACATACACTCCCTTGAATCGGCCCTCAACCCTATTGTAGGCTTTATCCAAACTTCTGTAAATGCCGCTGGCTGAAGCCCTAGAGCCTCCAATCTTATTTCAACGTACGCACGGCCCCTCGAGCAGCATCCCTCATTCGTAACCAAGCGAACCCGAAACCCTTCCATGCTGTTCTCGACCTCAAGGCCTAGCCGCGCGAAACCCCGAACCCCAATTCCTACTAAGCAACGCAACATGCAACACCTATAGCATCCTGCGAAGCTGCGCTCCTTCCCAGGAGCCCTCTGTTTCTGGGTGGCCGGAGCTTTCCTACGCCGCCGACACCGCCAGCAGAGCGCCACTGGGCCATCTACAGGTTGCTTTAGTGAGAGCTTTTAGGTTTCGATACAGGATTCTTGTAGGGCTTAGGGCTTAGGATTGAGGGCTAAGGGGTTCCAGACAGATTGATAGGGTTTTTCCTTCATGGGGCTTGTGCACAGTGTGGTGTTGATAGAACTCTTCTGTGTTTTTGTTAAATGAAGTTCGTGGATGCTTAAGATATGCATCACTTCCGGGCTTGGTGGCTTCGTTGTCAAGCCTTTCGGGTTCAGGGCTGGAGCCTCTTGACCCTAAACCCTAAACCCTGAGGTTCAGGGTTTGATGGGCATTGGAGCCTAGAGTCGAAAGCCACAAAGCCTCAAAGGTCAGTTTGGGGTTTGAGCTTTTGGGCATAGGGTTTACGGACTTCAGGCTGGGGTTCATCACCCACGAGCCACTTAACTACATATTAATATGATTGCAACTCAAACTGTAAATAAACCCCTATAAGACCCTTTCGGAGGACCGTCACAGTGTCCTCATTCTAACTCTGCCGGCCCCTCTGTACAACCCTTTACAACGAAGCCCTGATCAAACCCCATGCACATCCGCATGCTGTTTCTTAAGTTTCAGGCCCTTTCAGTTTATTTCTGGAACCAAAATCGAAACCATTCCGGAACCTTTTCGGGAACCCTCGTCTGCTTGTCTGCTTCGTGAGACCCCTTTATGACAGCACCCTTGTAGAGGAAACCTTAAAGGAGCCCTGAATTGAGCCCTTAAAGGAACCCTTCAAGGGCCTTAAAGGAGCCCTTAAGAATCCTTGAAAAAGGAGCCCTTGAAGAGGCTTATGTAGAGGATCCCTTAAGGGAGCCCATAACTTCGATGAGGGAATCTCGAGTTCCGAGGATCCCCTCAGCCATTTTTCCACTCGGCTGCTCGCCTGGGCCCGGGGCCCAGAATGCCACGAAAGGTCTCCGAATTCTCAATAGTCAACAGGGTTTAGTGTTTAGGGTTTAAGGTTTTGGGCAAAGGGTTCTTAGTAGTGTTTAGGGTTTAGAGTTTGGGGATTTAGGGTTTCTGGCAAGGGTTCTTAGTAGTGTTTAGGGTTTAGCGATGGGCTTTTAGGCTTTAGGTCTTTGGGGCGTTAGGGTTTAGGATTTTGGGGTTCAGGGTTCAGGTTTTCGGGCTTAGGGTTTGGGGTATAGCTAGCGAAAGCAGAAGCAATGTTGATGGTGGTCCCTGCTTCTTGAAGTATCCTGTCATCAGTATTATTGCAGAGGCTGGCATCTGCAAGTGCAACTTTTATGCAGTGGAGAATTGCCGCTCAAGGAATTTGTTAACAGTGCTTAGCCTTCCGTGCTCATGCACGGATGTTTTACGCGAGTTTCTTACCAGGTGTGGAGGGCTGGAGAGTCGTTTGACATGTTCTCAACAGCTTGATTAAGGCGAAGGTTCTTTCGGGCACGAGAGCCATCGTGTAAATTTGTGTAAATTATTTTCTAGGTGCCTATAAGTTGGTTTGCGTGTTGGGTTGCATCTTTTCGTGGCTAGCAATCTATTTCGAGACTACGCCAGTGGTGGATTTTCGGGTGCAGCTTCAGGTCTTTGATTAGGGAACTCCGATCGGCTTTACACTCGGGCTAGAGCACAATAGAGCTGTGTTTCCGTTTTTTTGGGTTCTGGGTCCTCATGAAAACAAAGTATGAGTTTGCTCAGCTTGGTAACTTCAAGCAAGCCCGAAGTTCGACCGATCTGCAAATCGCAGGACATTGACTTGGCTTGTTTCAGGGCGATGGCGAGCTCGCGAGAGTTTGGATTTCGCTACACCCTGAAACTTTATAAGGCCTAGGCGTTTAGAGCCTAGAGCCTTCAACCGCGAATTCGGAGCTGTACTTTCTTGCATCGAGCTTAATGTCTTTTTTGGGCTGGGCGAGTCGAGTCGCTCGAACGTTTCCAAAGCTCATAAAACCTCTCAACCTGACAACCCGAAAACCTCGGCCGTCCTAATGGTGGCCTGATCAATCATTGCCTAATACTAAACCAAACGGCTCCTGAATACAGTTACATTACAATGTCTGTATCCCAAAACCCTGTCCTAATGTTTGAGGCTCTTATGTTCAGCCCGTGATCCTCCCCACTTTTGCCGTTGAATGATTGTAAGCCCCGACTCCGGAGATTCTACCTCATAAGACCCCGATAAGCCTGTAGCCCTGAAGTTCCTAAACCAGAACCTGTAGCTTCAGGTGGCGCTCTATCGCATCGAATTTCCGACAAGCTTTGAACTTTTTGTTCAAATGCAGCCCTAAAATCCCAAAGACACTGACAGCTCCTAGGCAACCTTACTTCCTCCGCGCGACTCCGGAGCCACAGCAACGCAGACTCAAGCAGGGATCGAGTCGTTCGGGTTAGGGTATGTAGTTAAATCTTTACAACTGATTACTCATAGAGTATAGTAATCAAAAACAATGTATGCTATAATATAACGCAATAGAAAGTAATGCATATGCATACCTGCTCTTCACCAGCACACCCTTGGTACAAGGCCTTTATGTTGTGCGGGGCTTTATAAGCCTGATTTGGGCTCATGCGCTTGGATATCCACTAGCTCCTGCTCTTATGGCGGAGGAGAGACGGTCTGTGGATTCGAATGTCGGACTGGAGTTTGAAAGCGATGTCCCAGCACCTAGGTGAAGTTTGTGTCTGTAGTGCATGTGTTTGCATAATAAGTTTACTGTCATCATCGTACGACTACCACTACCACCACTACCACCACTACCACCACTACCACCACTACCACCACTACCACTACTACTACTACTACTACTACTACTACTACTACTACTACTACTACTACTACTACTACTACTACTACTACTACTACTACTACTACTACTACTAGCTGGTGCTGCGTCTGCTGCTGCGGTTACTGCTACTACCACTGCTACGACGACGGCGTCGACGACGACGACTATTACTACGGCATTGCTTGCATCGGGTCCTCAGCTTGGACTAGGATGATGTTGGAGGGTTTGGAGACACGGTTGCCCTAAACGCCTTGCGAGCTTTCAAGCCGGCCAAGGTATGTATCTCAGCACCCCCAAAGCTTGCGATGCGCACCTCGGCCGCGGTAGCGGAACAGAGAAACTGTAAACCATAAGCACTCACAGGACAAGAGGCAATCAACGAAAAGCGAAATCCCTAAACCTCTAAACCCTAAAACCCTGAAGCTAGACTCTCGACCCCCTACGGAGCCGTTATTTTCCTTGGCTTCACTATGCAATGCCATTTAAGCTGTAGACTGCAATGCAAAATGCCAGAGGGGTTCAGGAAAACCGGAAAGAAGTAGTAGACCCTAAATTTTGAGGGCTGGACGGAAGATTTTCAGGGGAAGCACATCCTGATAGATTGACGTGATTCGGGGATGTGGCGGTGGGTCGTCTATACCCAGGCTCAAACTGTGACCTTTTGCATGTAGGGTAAGAACCCTACTTGGAGGATCATGGGACTTAGTAAGTAGGGTTATATGTACCTTAATTGGGGTTATAAGTATAGTTACCCTAATCATAACCCTAGTTACTAAGTCCCATGATCCTTTAAGTACACCCGGGCCGTGGGTCCTACAGACTCTGCAGAATTTGAGAGTTGAGGGTTCTGGGTTTCCGCTGTAGGGATTAGAAATTTTAAACCCTAAAGTCTTCGCTGAGTGTTTGATTCGTGCGAATGTCGGCTCTAGTAGTCCATGAAGGGTTCCTTGCAGGGTTGTTTTTTTAAGGGCTCCAAGGTGTCTTTAAACGGAACCTCCCTTCGTGCAAGTTTCGTCTGGGTCAGCTCTCCCGGAGCTGTCGGGGCGAGGAATCGAGATTATCGTGAAGCCCTACAAGCGGAACCCTCAAAGCCCGAAGCCTCAACGCTCGAAAGCCCTACACCCTCAGCTCTGAGGGGTCCAAGTTTCCGGCTTGAGGCCTTCAGGCTTACTGACGTAGTCCATCAGCTCTCAGTTTTTAAGGCGGGCTGAGCTACCCAGGACCTCGTTGTTGCACGGGACATCGCTATCCGTGCTTTGTGTGAACTCGGCGGAGCACCCAATGCGAGCGGCAGTCTTCACGCACAATCCATGGGATTCTTGGACCCTGCATGAGAAGGCTTGCGAAGCAAGGATGACGATCCGCCATTGCCACCTTTGATGGAGGTCTTGGCAGGCGGCCAGTGTTGGACTTGATGCAGAAGCCCCCCGTCCAGCACGAGGAACAGTGACGCATGCCTTGCCAGCTTCAGACTATGGCTTGAAGAGCCTAGACCCTAAACTCCCTAAACCCTAAAAACCTTAAACCCTAAACAATTCTTGTATGGGTTTTCGATGTGGGCTTTCATGGCTCAGGCCTGCGCACCATGCAATGCATGCGCGGGCCCCGAGCCCCCAAAGAGCAAAGCAGAACGGAGCAAAAATGGCTGCGACAGCTTGAAGTCCGTAGAACCCCTGCATAAAGCCACATTACCCTAAGGCCCCAAAGTAGTTCCTTTTGGGGGTTCATATATAGAACCCTATAAGGTAATCCCAACAAGGAACTACTTTGGGGCCTATGGGTAAAGCTTAGCAAGCTATCAAGACCCTACGACACCTTGTTGTATTCAATTCACCCGACTGCTCATTTTGCTCTTTGAGCTTGAGTACTCTGCTTCCCGCCAGGTGGCCTAATATGACGATAATGGGATGTACTAGAATACTTAGTATATCTTCGCATATTACCCACCAGGGTTTTCAAACACAAGTATAGCGAGATATACCGTACCACAATGCCTTAAACCCTTGTGCAAACCGCCGAACAAAACCGCAATCGTCACTCCAAGGTCTCCGAATCACCCCGCGGCCAAAATCGATCCTGGGCGTGGAGCTTGGTTGTCTTTTGAGAATAAACAGGTACGAAATACTGAGATGTGGGTTGCTTTCAGCATGTTTTACGGATGCCTTTTTGGATATGGGGGCCAGATTGTTCGGAGCAGGGTATTGGGGTGCACCGCATTAGCAGTATGTACGGACGAGAGCGGATCACGGTTTATTACTTACATGAGTCAAGGCCTGTTACTGGTTAGATGAAACGATTTTCCAAAGAATAGTCTCATGATTGGTTGGGGTTGCTTGGTTTGGATTTGAGGATTCAAGTTCGAAACTTCAATAGCTTCAATCACTATTCCGTAATGTTCCCAACTGCTGCATTCTCAGTTTACTATACCCCGAACCATGTTCTAGTGGTTTCAGGTACAGTAAAGCTTACCCAAATGACCAAATGATTGGTTCTTCGGGTTCCTGAGTTTAGCTAAAGTATAAGAAGAGACTGCAACCCTATTCGAATTGTCAGGGCGCCGGAAGCCTGAAGATCTGAACCCTGAACACCACAAGCCTCAAGAGCACAAGACCCAGATCGCAACCCGAAGATGCCCTAGTACTTGGTAGAATGCCATAGATCTGAGCCCCCTTCAACCCTAAGTCCTCAGCTCTAGTTTTTACTTGGAGACGCACGTAGCGTTGCCTTTGACTGGCCCTTGAGCCCTAGCCGTTAAGCCCAGGCCCTGAAGCTTTAATGCCATAAATCCTAAACCGCCAATCTAAGCTTCATGTCCAGACCCTAAACCCGAAAGACACCCCAAGAAGCCCTAAAGCCCTTCAGGGTACACGGTTTGGTGCTTGAAATTTCGGGCCCCAAAGCCCCTAAACCCCAACCCGCAAAACTGGTAATGCAGACAGACTTGCAGAGTGCAGAAAGGGCCCTTAAAACAAAAGACCCTCAACCTCAAACTCTCAAAACCTAAACCCCTATGATAACCTTATAACCTTGTGGGTCCCGGTAAGGGAACTCTATAGATCCCCTCAACACCATAGTCCCCTTATCGAGCCCTTGCAAGGAGCCCTTTTAATATAATCCCCTTTAAAAGAGCCACTCAACCCTAAAACCCTAAACCCTAAAACCCATAAGTCCCTCATAGAACCCTTACGTATGGATCCCTTTACGCGCGCGCGCCACTCAAGCCAAAAACCCATAGATCCCTTATAGAGCCCTTACTTATGGATCCCTTTAAACCGTAGATCCCTTATAGAAGCCTTACTTATGGGTTCCTTAAAAGGAGAACCCATAGATCCCCAGAGCCCTCAGTTACGGATCCCCTTAAAGGAGAACCCATAGATCCCTTATAGAGCCCTTACTTATGGATCCCTTTAAAGGAGAGCCCACAGATCCCTTATAGAACCCTTACTTATGGATCTCTTCAAAGGAGCCCGGCTTTGCTAAGGTGCTCCCCACTGTCCCGGCGACGCGAAGCCAGGAGCAGACCTGGGAGCTTCGCGGTTCCGAGGGTGTGAGGTTTAGGGCTTTTGGGTAGGGGCTTTAGGGTTGTTTAGAGGCTTGAGGGTTATTTAGGGGTTTAGGTTTTAGGGCTTTAGGGCTTTAGTCAGGGTTTTAGGGATCATTCGTTGTCGTTTTGGGGGGCGCGGTTTATCCAGGTCTTCCTGATTGTTTGGGATATGGTGTGGGCAGATTAGAGCTCACCAGCATAAGCCATTTTCTGCTACACCTCAACTAAGCAGTCTACGGTCCCTGCGAGCATTCCTTACGTGCGACGTTGCAGGTTGCGATGACGTTGCGGACCCGATGCCGATGATTTGGGACATGCTTGGCCACTGCATTGATTAAAATTGCGCTCTTTTGGAGTGCTGTCTAGATTCATGGGGCCATTTGTCCTGTGGCAGCTAGCTCTCAACCGCCTGAGCGCAGCCATTTCAGCGAGCGCGTGCGGCCGTACCGTCCTTCTCAGGGAGGGTTGCAGGCAGTCCGATGACGCCGTCCAGCTCGTCTTCGGAGACATTCCTCAATCATGGGGCTTTGCAGTCGTTGCGGCGATGCATGCATAAATCCCACGCCCGGCAAAGGTATTGCTTCGGCAATGGACGCCTGGACGGCATGAAGCTGTTCCAAGCCTGGCGCCGTGAGGATGGAGCCGCTCTGGCGACTTAGGGTCTCGGATGAATCTAGGCTGCCTTCATTTGTGTCCTCGGCATTGAAGGAGGCAACACTGTGTTGGATGGCCTGCATGGGGACAAGGCTTACCATGCCTACGTCCACAAGATTTTGCCTGGAATGCGACCCGGTCCACTGGGGAACCTTCCGAGAAGGGGAAGTTTCTCCAGGCATATTCCCCTATGACAACAGGAAGCCGAAGGAAAGCCCTCGTTCCATGGAATTCATTTCATATGTTGGGTCAGTCCGGGACGCGGGAGCATGATGCTCAACCTGTTCTTCAAGGGCGGTGGGGCACATGGATTCTATCTTGGCTGCTGCTGTCTGACCCGATTATGAGAACCGATGCTACCTTGGAACACCCATGGACCATGTTGACCACTCTACAATACTTTAAAAAAAGCAAAATTGTGAGAATGAAAGCAAACAGCGGATACATTAGGCAGGCGTTCATCAATCTGAAGGGGGGCACCGCCTGCTTAGGCATCGCCACTGAACAGATGAGCCCGTGCTTGTAAAAACTCTGAAATTTCTGTATGATAAGATTACAAACAAAACATGACAAAATGAATCAGACATGAATCCTAGGGGGCCTGAGGGGCGGTTCAGGCCACTTGGGATAAATTCCAGGTGACCCTTGGGCTAGACTGAGACGAATTGGTTGGTTTTCCGATCTGTTCGCTTTATTGCTGAGGAGGGTGTTGAGGATGAAGGAGCAATCATATTCAAGATGTCTGACCCCAAAGGCAGAACACCAGGGTTTTATTTTGGTATTTGGGCGGTGGAGGCCGGAAAGTGGGAAAGGGTTTTCGCTTGATGGGTTCCAGAAATGAATTCCAAGAGGGCTAGGGAAACGTGAGGCCACCTTGGGTTTCATTTTCTTTGCACACTATCCAGAACGATCAAATATGCTTTTCTGGAGAACCAGAGAGTGTGGTCTTGGATGGACAGGGGTGGCGAAATGAGTCAGCAATGGGGGCCAAGAGGGAGGTCAGGCCGCGTGGGTTCCATTCCAGGCCGCCAGGGTAAAATGAAACGAGTTGGCTGGGGTCGCTTTGTTGGGCATGGTTCTGGGGATGAAGGAACAATAAAACTCAATACAT